GTATAGATTCCTATTAATTTTACGAAAATATTCTGAAGAAAGTAATTCCTTCCCAAAATCTCTGTTAGTTGCTCTGTACAGTACTAACCTTCCCCTGTAAAATCAAATTTGATTTCTAATGAAACGATTTTTTTTTTACCGAAATATGCTGCTTTGAAGTTACTCGAGAAGTGTTTAAAATTATAGAGTGTGCTATCATTTTTCCTCGTACTGTATATGTATATATGCAGAGTGGGCACAAGTGTCATTATCTCCTCAAAATTTCCAATAAAATACTTTTTTATTTCCCTATAATTATAACTGAATAATTGATGGTAATCAAGGTGATAACATTGTTAGTGTCAGAAATCACATCACAAACGCTTACAGCATATGTATTAATCACGTGAGCTCACATTCCGATACACTCGACGCCATATTCCCTTTTTTCCTTCCAAGAGAGCTCTACTCTCAGACTTTCCTTGTCTTGAAGTCCACCAGATGGAGACTCACGCTCTGACCACCAAATACAAATGTACATACTGTTCACAGTTATTCTATAACCGAGAACTTTTATATTCCCGAATATCAAATTCAAAATTTGCGAGTCTAAAGTTAATTTAGCATATAAAGAAACCGTAACGTTCGGAAATGCCGACAGCGCACACCAGATGTCTCGTAAGCGTTAATAAGCATCGATCATAGATCCGCTCTTCATAGAACGATAATCAAAAATGGCATCCGATGGTGTTCCATGAAACAGATTAGTCTGATTAGTCCCATTGGTCCGATTATAATAATACTATGCCGAGTCCAGATGATCAGTGCTTAGAGTATAGGTTAGCTCGCTCATGCATACGCGTTTCCATATTTTGTAGATAAACGTGGCTTTTACGATTGACATGTAATCGTGTGTCAGGTTAGGTGTCTTCTACGTAAGCTTTGAGAAGGAATTAGGCTCAGCACATGTAAACCACGTATGTTTCTCGTCCCTAAACCGTTTCACGAGTTACGTTTTGAGCTACCAGTGAGCACAGTTTCTCGAAATCTGTAAGTTAAACTTCTCCATGGTAAGAACCATAGATATATATGTCATCTGTTGAGATAGTCCGGCGTTGAAGTGCGAAGTTCTCTCTATCCTGATGTTAAAGACAGTAAATTTGTGAGTGTCGAGTGAACTTAACGATAATTTTGTAACTCCACGTTGTGTTATGGTGTTTACAATGAAATTCTAAACATCGGTCCAATAATTTTAATAAATGAACTATATATTCCTTATCTACTATTGAGTATAAATAAACAAGTCTCTTCCTTTGTACAAGGCTCTTTGGCATGCATTTGCTTCTACGTTTTGCATCTTCCCAATCTCTTTCTCGCTAACTCTCACACGCCTCTATGTTTCACTTCTCAAACTAATTCGCGTCATCGATAATTCAGTGTATCAACCTTACCGACATTTCGTTCGAACAACAAAAATATTACATTAGCTACGAGAACGATATAAAATACTTGCCCTGTTCCACTATTCCGTCATCGTGATCACGATAAAAGTCAAGTCACGTTTGCACTGTTTCAAGCGTTCTGTGAATTGTAGAAAAAGGCATTACCGTCTAATTTCTCACAATAAAGAAGCATGCCTGGAAAATCGCTGCATACGAACAGGTCAGGAGATCAGTGAATGCAGCAGGTGAGAACTGTCTATTCCAGGAATCGCCTAAGTATCCCCTGTAAAGATTCCTTCTCTAGGAAACTACTGTATATCCCATTGGCCAGGCATTCTTACGTCCCTCCACTTAATCACACGGTGCACAAAAGTTAAAGGCCACACCCACCAATGCGTCTAAATTCTCACGAAACGAATCCACTCCAGACATTGCTATCGATTCGAGTAGTCAGTCAAAGCCTTCGCTTCCTTCGAGTAAGACATCGGCGCAATATTTTACTCCATTTTACCTATTATCGGCCTTTTCCACGTCCGCTGGCACAAAGCTGAATCGATGAGCGAGATAGCTGGCATTGCAACGCGACTCTCGGAAAGCCGTGTACCTGAATAGCGTTTCGAGGTAAAAAGATTCGACTGCAAGGAGAACGCAAATTTTTATACCAAGTCACATTCCAGGACAATAGGCTCATTAGCCTGTGCGAAACGAGTTCTCTGTCCAGGTACAGCAACAGCACTGACTGACTGCCTTCTATCTCGTATCCTGGAATTCGTCGGAACGCGATAACCGATGGGAAAACGCGATCGAGACGGAAGAAAATTACGACTGCCTCGTTTCTGGCGAAAGTTATTATTATTATTTATACGTATGGAGAAGTTGTGACTCCCGATATATGCGTGTATATTGTCAATGGCATGGATATTGATGTGTGGATGTACAATGTGTGCGATCCAGGCGACACCTCGTGACTAATTAGGTGGCCATAGCTATGGCAGTGTGATTAAAATAATCGAACTGTAAACATGTGTGTCGCTGTTGTATAAAAATTAAGTATATCTAAGTAAAATAAGTAAATAAATAAAAATCCGCTACTGTATTTACAATGCGACTCGCATGACGAGATTAATTACTGTAAACATGAAAATCAGATATTACTCTGAATAAGACGTTAGGTATAACTAAGCGAAATCAGAAATAAGATATCAAAACGTTATTTCACTCGTCGACAAACAGGAGAATCACAAACCATCGCACAATTATTTGAAGGTAATATGGAATGGATCTCGCCGAAAGGATACCTAACCTCATTAAGAGAAACGATCGAGAGAAGAGGTTAGTCGACGACACGTCCGTCATACTTTTCTAAATATCACCGAAATCGCGTGGAATTTCGCGTGGAAAGCATTCTCATCGAACAGTTCGAGAGCGTTGGTTCGAGACCGAACGACTAAATCAACGCTTTCGACGCGCTTTTTCTTCCCACGTTCATTCCACGATCGCCGTAACGGGGCCCGCTCGCGCTGGAAATTGCAGTCCTGTCGGTTTCCAACTCGCGAGCGCCCCCCTTCAGCTGCGCGCGCACGGGCGCGCTCGCGCGCCGCCTAGCCTACTGTTACCGCCGTGCAAAAATCGTCGCAATTGCGCCAATAAATCTTCCGCGCTAATGCCAGCCCCGGAGAAACAGTTATCAGATGCTCGAGACGCGATGCGGCTTTAACAATTTCCCGGCTATTATGCTCGCCGCTCATTAACGATTCGCTGGACTCGATGATCTAACGGAGGTTCTCCCCACCCCGTCCCCTCCCCGTGCTCGGCCTGGCATTATGGTAACAATATATCGACTTGTAATGTATCAGACGTTTACGCGTATGAAAAGATACCATTTATAAACTGCGTGTGAGCTGCGAACTTCTCTGGTGTAAAATGGCGAACGCGAAATGTCATTTCTGGCGAAACTTTTCTCAAGCTTTCTTCGAAGCAGTGAAAAATATTTTGAAATTTGAGTTTCTGTGCGAAATGGATTTAGTCTGTTCTTACATCTTCGTTGGTGGAAATAAAAGTAGATATCGAACTGCAAGTTAATAATGCGATCGTAGTGGTGACAGTGAAGTGCAATGAGTTTAGTAATTTGTGCAGAATCTTATGTGCTGTTTTTAACGATTATTTTATTTTAATCTTCAGTGTGAATCATTTTCTCCATTCTTGCCCTTGGAACCAGCTGATTAATAATGATAAAATAGGTTATTTATTTTTATTGGGAATATTATTTTTCTAAATATTTATTGAGAGCATCGTCTATTGCATATTTTAATTTTTTTTTAATTTTTGTACATTTTACAACGAGAAATCTGAAATTTCATGAGACAACGTGGCGCCATCTTAACATTCGACGAACATAACCTCCTCGAAATGTTAACCTTATGGTTTTTAATTACTTTCGTGATATTTTCTGCAGATATAAATTAACTATGATAATCATGCTTGTTGTCCTGTTTACTCAGTTACTTCTTAACTATAATTTCTTAATTAGAATTTAGTTAAAATTTTTTAATCTGTGCGGATGAAAGAATCGGAGAAGATGGATCGATTTTACTTAAATCAAAATTAGTCTTCCGAATGAAAGTATAATATAACGTGTGATGAAAATGTAACGATCTATGTCTCAAAAATAGTGAAATTCTGCGAAATTAAGTTAGAATATTGGCAAGTCGATGGAGTGAACTCCTCTTTCCCAATTAAAAGGTTAAAGAAGAGAGTACTACTCACTACTAATGGTTTTGACATTAAGCTTGTAAGAAAAAGTGCACGTCAGATCTTACAAAATCGTAATCTTAATTTTCTGTTAGATTGCCTCGAGAAAATTACACGTTAATTTAGTACGGGTGTTATTTAACATCCAATATGCAAAAGCGATTTTCTATCAGTGCATTCAGAAGATTAATACTTAATATCTTCCTCGAATCTAATAGAAAAGTTTTTAAATTCGCTACTGACTATAACTAGATTTATCCAACTGTCCATTCGTTCGTACAAATTTCTCATATTAGTAAACTCATATTACCACGGGAAACGATTGTTGAATCACCCTATTACACAGCGTGTTTCAAATACTATTAAAATAATCATTCGAAGCTAAAAGCTCAAAGCTCTATTTTCAATAAAGTCATAATCGCTAAATTGCATGTGTTCCATTTCGATTTTTCTAATTTATTAAATTTCATCTAATATATATATATCTTATCTGAAATAAAGCTACTTGGCTAAAGGAAATACTAACTAATTAACCAATTAACTTTTAACAAAAAACAACAGACCCATCAATCACTATCAAATACCAATAAAATTACATTCGAATATTACATAGAAACGATGTAACTTATCTCATGACTCGCATTTGATACCAATACGTATGCTAGAAATTAATGAAAAAAATACCTCTGTAGTACCAACTCCGTGTAACTCACACATGCAAGGTCTCCCAATATACAGACACATTTTACAATAAAACCAGTCCCTCGCCATCGAGAAACAAGGAACGCGTGAAATGCAAACCTATCCGAGTTAATCTAACCTAAAAATCTACTGTTCGTTGAGTATCATCGTCTTCTCGTGTCGTTCAATCGCGATCTTCTTGATCCTCTCCCACAACATAGGATACGGGTGGATGGTTCTCGCGAAGTCAGCTCGATTCAGCCGATACAACTCGCAGGTTTCAACAGCCACCACACTGGCGACCCTCATCTCGTTGGGCATGACCAGCGCCACCTCGCCGAAGTGTGCGCCGTCCTCCAGATGGCACACCTCCTTCCCCGAGTTCGTGTAAATAGCCACGGTGCCAGTAGCGATAAAATACATACAGTCGCCAGCTTGATTCGCCCGCACGATCACGTCGTTCGTCAAGAAGATCTCTGACTTGAGCAACGCCACGATTCTTCCTAGCAAAGACAATGGCAAATTATTGAAGAACGTCACGTTCTCGACCAGCTTGCGGCACGAGTGCATCCTGATCTCCTGTCGCATCTGCGAGGACAGGGTGTTGATGATCTCCGACTCGCGGAAGAACCGATGCTGGAATCGGAACTCGTAGTACTGAATGATCCTCCTCTGAGTAGGGTAGGGTAGCTGTTTGTGCCTCATGTACTGCTTCAGCTGAGCCACGGTACCCTGGTACTTCAGCCTGGAGCTATTCACACCCTTGAAGAACTGCATGACGCGAGTGATGAGGAACCAGGGTGCGACTATGCCGCACAGCTGCAACGCGATCATCAGGAAAATGTCACCAGCGTCCTCCTGGTTCGTATACAGGAGTCCAGCCCTCGTGAAGGTGGTTATAGCTCGCAGGCTACTGGCCAAGTATTGCTGCGACCTGGGAGCATCCCACAGGTTGATCTTCTCGATCCAGGAGTTCTTGCTGGGACGCTGCGGCTGACGCAGCGAGGTCGTCACTAAAGGGATCAACCAGTGGATACAGGACTGCCAATGGACCAACATTATCATCCAGAAGAGTATCAAGCAGAACTCCTGCAGGGCTAGTGGAACGTCGTACGCGACTGCCAACTTCCCGATGTAGGAGCTGAGGGAGAAGACGCGGAAGATGCACATCAGGGACGTAGCCTTGCGAAGAACCATGTAGTCTATCCACATGGACAGGTACAGTACGTCTGTTGGGAAGGAGCCCAAGACGTCCACGAAGAAGGTGCCGGACTTCATGTAGCGATTGATTATCTTCCTTTGTTCCAACACCGTAGCGTGTATCTCCTTGTCGAAGTACCTGAAGGCAAGATGAGAATCTTGGATGAATTTGACGGATTTATGTTTACTGACATGCGTGAAATTTTTACAGGAATTTGGGTACTTTTCGCTCGAATGTCTGACGAGAATAATGTGCAGTTGGACTATAAATTGAGAAGCTGAAATGGTAAATGGCGTACATGCCCGCAAGCTGAAATAAATTATCCTATGCACTTACAGTGTTCACTACTGTATTCAATATTGAGTTAATATCCATCTCCCCTGGAAACATAGATTTTTCTATTTTTTTCTTTTTTTTGGCACTTACATCATCGGACGTTCGAGATTTACTTTTGAATCGCATACGTGTCGCACTGTGATCGAGCGAGATAAGTAGTTTGGTTTCCGAGAAGTGAAGAAATAAAGGAAACGACGATGAAATGACTGCAACGCCGCTACCGAGTACTTGAGCTAAATTGTTTGACCGTAAATCGTTAACATTAAGCTAAATCGTGAAAGTCTAATACTGCTACCTAATATATTTTTAATGTACACTTTCATAACACGGTGAAAATTATAAATCATTTAACATTCTGAATGCTTAGTATTAATGATGATCGGTTAAAAGTCAGAAAGTGCTTAACCTGCTTTCGATCATCACCCTTGTTAAATATCGCCATCGCGAGTACCTAATGCGTTCGCTACTAAAATCTAAAATTAAAAAAGGATATTACACATTTTATAAAAATATAGAGAAATTAGTTAAACTCTTATTCACGTCACTCTACTCAAAAAAGAAGAAAAATAAAAGAAACTATGGTAACCTCTTCGTCTTTCTCACAGCAACATTCAGAACAATATGATACACATAAAGAAATTAGTCTTCTAGATAAATTTAATAAAAAAGATAAAAAAGATAAAAGACAAAATCGTAATACTTTGCTCCCTTTTTAAAAATAAACTTCGCTAAAAAATTATTATCATTGCCACATGATACAGTGTAGGTAAAACCACAGTAACATGAACTTACCTATACTAATACCTATGATTAATACCTATAAATAGGTATCGTCAGTAGCATGAACCTGACAACCGAAACCCGTGTTAAGCCTCTCAGTTTCCAACAGCGCCGTTTAAAATCGATCAGACTGCCAATCAACGTTCGGATGATCCCAGGAACAGGTATATAGATGGGCCATGACATCGTGACTGAAGATTCGGAACGGGCACGCACGCGATACTTGCCCTGTCATGAGGTTAACCATTATGTCCCCGCAGCAGATGAGCAGCAAGAAGTTCTTGCTGATGTTCCAGATCTTCGACTTTTTCCCCATTTCGAAGGTAGCCTGATAGGGTACGAGCATCAGCAAGCTGGTTATCACGAAAATCATCAGGATGTCCCAGCAGTGCCTGTAATAACGATCCGGGGCATAATGCGCGCGCTAAGTAGACCGGATGCGCGAACAGTTATCGGAAACTTTCACGAAACGATTTATCATTAGGTTAACCGTACGCTTTACGATGCACATTCGCGCGCCTTTTACGGTAATAGACGTTTTTACCGGAACTCACGTGCAGAATCGGGCGCTTGTACCTGAAAAGACTGAACGGGTGTATGATATGCGAGTAACTTCGCCAGTGACGTCGCTTTTCCTGGACAATGGACGCGTTGCTTCGCAGATACTTGTGTGCAGCTGGGTTCTTGCGAGATGCCAGCAGGGAGAGACGCAGGATGTCGTATACTCGTCGTATGGGCCCTCTACCGGGGAGAAATAGTATGTCATCGTTGTCTGCTGGTATTTCGCAGGTATGATCCACGTGGAGTATCATTGCGAGTTATGGTGGTATGTGGAGCAAACTTTTCGAAGAGGTTAATGTTCAGAGGTGAGTGAAGATTGACGGTGATTACGAGAAGTATCTTCGGATGATTCCGGTTGATAATGGTACAATCGATCGTGTCGATTTTTACAATCGTATACCGATCATGCGATGCGTAAAAGAATATAGTAGTCCAACTTTTTTCGTATTTGAAATAGATTTTTGTGATGGAAGGTATTGTAGACTTACATTAATAGAAATAAATGTACTGTTGACTTTCAAGGATTTAATAATGTTGCAATTGTATAATTTATTTGAGAATTGAGTTGAATTTGAGTTTAAACGATATAAGGTTGACATCTATTGTATGATATACGAGTATGGTACTCCGAACTTGGTAGCTGAAGCTAAAACAGGAAAGTAGGATATTGAGGAATTTTCTAAGTTAGCTGAAGGTAAGCCAGGAAGAGAAATATCAAGGAACTTGCTTCATTCGCTGAAGGTAAAAGAGAAAAGGTTATTTAGAAACCTTCTTCATTGCCTTACGGTAAAACAGAGAAAAAAGTATCAAGGAATTTTCTTCATTAGCTGAAGGTAAAAGAGAAAAGAACGTTATTTGCTACAAGTAAAAGATTACCTAAAGTAAAACCAGATGAAAGATATTACGGAATTTGCTTCATTAGCTGAAAGTAAAAGAGGAAAGAAGGTTAATGAGAAATTTTCTTCATCACCTAAAGGTAAAACAGGACGAAAGTTATCACGGAAAGGTAAAACAGAGAAAAAAGTATCAAGGAATTTTCTTCATTAGCTGAAGGCAAAGAAGAAAGAAGAATAATAAGAAATTTTCTTCATCACTTGAAGGTAAAACAGGACGAAAGTTATCACGGAATTTACTTCATTAGCTGAAGGCAAAGAAGAAAGAGGAATAATTAGAAATTTTCTTCATCACTTGAAGGTAAAACAGGACGAAAGTTATCACGGAATTTACTTCATTAGCTGAAGGCAAAGAAGGAAGAAGAATAATTAGAAATTTTCTTCATCACTTGAAGGTAAAACAGGACGAAAGTTATCACGGAATTTACTTCATTAGCTGAAGGCAAAGAAGAAAGAGGAATAATTAGAAATTTTCTTCATCACTTGAAGGTAAAACAGGACGAAAGTTATCACGGAATTTACTTCATTAGCTGAAGGTAAAGAAGAAAGAGGAATAATTAGTAATTTTCTTCATCACTTGAAGGTAAAACAGGACGAAAGTTATCACGGAATTTTCTTCATTAGCTGAAGGTAAAAGAGGAAAGAAGGTTATTAAGGTATTTTCTTCATTAGCTAAAGGTAAAATAGGGGAGTAGGATACTAAGGAGATTCCTATATTATTTACCGTTGATATACATTTTAATTGTAGTTAAATTGTAAAAGATATAATTTATATTGTATGTAAGTGTTGATTTACACTATGTATGTTGTGTAATTCTTATTAATACATTTTGGAAGTAAATAAAAAAAAGGTACAAAAATATTTACACAAATTTAACTTTTAAATTAACATTAATTACATTACATTGCTTTCCTTATATTGCATTACATTGTTAGTCACTGTTCTCTTATTAATTAATAACGAATTCGTTAAATTTTTTATTACCACCTGCCGATTATATCTACATCTGTAACTATTTCTATCTTATGTTATTCATTTTATTTCTATATACCGTATTTCAGTTATTAGTCACTTATATTATTATTTATTCTATTCTCATCAATAAAATAGCACTTCTGTCATTAAATTGCACTAAATTCAAAGCAATATTGTTAAAAATTCTAAAAAGAGCACAAAATGTAATTTTGTGGTTAGGTGATAAACGATAAATGCTATTCGGACGTCAAAAATACACATTACCGATCAATCGATTCGTTTCCACGATAGAAATATATTTCAGTCAATATTAGTCCGCATGTAGGAGGATTCGCTTCCGCGAATAAAGTAATTTCACCGTTTGATTTGTAGTTTCCGGTCCTTCCGAGACAGCGCTTCCTCTCCTTTGTCGTTATTCGATTAAACCAATAAACCCGACGGAATTGTTCACTCTTTCGTTACCATTTTACCACTGTCACTTTTCCAAATTATCGCGAATCTAATTCCCCATACATCGAGTTACCGCGAATCGTAATAATTGTCGCGGATTGGCCCGAGGCAATTGAAACAGGCTCACAATGGTGCCTTTTATTTCTACGCAAATTGATTTTCGCGAAAGCCCGTTATATCCCCTTCGGCACACGAAGCGCACACCTTAGAGCGAGGTTTAATCGTGCGCGAGTAAGGTCCGGTAAATAACGATATGTAAATCCCTGCTGCAGTTCCTTCGGCGCTCTCGTTTGTCACGTCGCGCCATTACGCACAACGCGGCCATGTTTGATTTCTCGTCGACGTTGTTTGCGTTACATCATCCGCCGTTCTGTCTGACCCTTACGTTTCGCGCTGTCCCGCGGTCATCGATCCCTGAATATTTTGTGGAATTGCAAACGAACGGATCCCTGTTTACGAAAATCGTGGATCGCCCTTAAGATAGACGACCTTGCTTGACGGTACGGTTAAGCGACGTTATATACAAGTCGGCTTTACGAGGGCTCAGGGCTGTGTTGCGTGCGCCGCATAAGAAGAAAATTTTCCCCGTGCACATTGCGCGGCCCGACGAATTCTCCGACGTAACGACGAGGTTTTATGGACGATTTTATTTGTTCACCGTGTATGAACGTATTTTCACGGACGTATTTATTATATTCCCGCCGATATCTCGTACCGGTCATAAAACGTGTACTCGTTAGGGATTCCGCGGGTTCGTAGTCGCGCCAACAACCCTTTTCCTTTCTCTCACTCCCTCTCTTTCTCTCTTTCTCTTTCGCTCTATTTTCCTCCCTTGTCTCTCATTTTTTCTCCTCGTTTTTTTTTCTTCTCTTTTTTTCTTTTTTTTAGCGAATACATCGACATACGGCTGGTGTAATTAATGCTCGCACGTGAACGAAGACAATGGCGTTCAGCCATGTGGTTGAGGTATCATTACGTACCGCGATGTTTAAAATTTCAAGGCTTTTGCTACACATTCTATAATCAGTGATCGTGTTGGTGGCGTTCGCGTGAAAAATAATTCTCCAGTTCCATGGTGCTGGTGAGCCCTGAAACCTGGTATTATTAGTCGAACATGGCCTCTGGTGCGTCGATGCGATGCCTTGCGTCGCTGACAAAGCGAGGCACGAACGATAGGATCGGGTGGAACTGGGAAAAGGTAAAATTTTTCAAAATTAGCTATCTCTCAGAGTTACTAGGTTTACCTTCGACTCTCCACGGCGAAATATTCGATATGCTGAGATGCATTGTGTTTCAGGTTGGGAAACGTAAACGTGGAAAGTATACAGATGCGAATAATCGGTTCTGATTATATTTTGGCTTAGGAAGGTTTTATTCTGAATGGTTATGGGAGTTTGCAATATGGTAGCCTGTGGCTCTATCGACCAATTACACTATCCATCAAATTTTCACTTTTACTCTAATCTGTTATATCTGTTAGGTGATTCGGGTACATTTTACTTTCTTCGACACGAATCCGTCATCGAAATTTCTCTACCACCTTCGGATTCTGAAGAATGAGTTTTTTCAGAGACACTAATTTCGTAAGTTCATACTTTCAATGCAATATCCTTTTATTTTTATCAAACAGTTTTGCGTCTGAAGCGAATTTGGTACACAGTATCGTTTGCTGTAGACTTTCCTAAAGATAGAGCCTTGATCAGATCGAGAAAATATTTGTCGGTAACGCATACACAGGGCTTTTACAGCCACGCAGCCATTATTTGCTTCTCTTGTCTAGACAGTGCTGTAGTTAAGGGTAATCCTCTTTGTGCAATAGAGCTAATATACATCTGTCAACGGAAAAATGGAAGATACAATTTTTGTACAATCTTTCAATAAATTGACAAAAGGAACTATGAAGATTTACAATAGGCACTAAATATCTAAAAACTTTGTGCGTAGCTCTTTGCTTGGTATCGTTCCCCAAAATTTATTCTCTGAGAAACGATACCAATTACCAGGTCTCACCACGAGGAGGTGGCTACGCATCGAGACCCGACATGCGCCCTAGTGGCGCAGCCTACTGGTACTATCCGTATCAAAGATACCCTAATTTAACTTGGAACGAATTTAGTTAAAATGAATCTACTGACACTTTATTATATTTCGTGTCTTACAAAAGGGGTTTCGGTTCGGTATACTGAAACTCTACTGTCGCAACGCTAATATATTTTCAAGTTCCCATAAAAATAGGGAATAAAATATCAAACACGCGAGCTAATAGAAAATCGCGACGCGTCCGAACGAGTTCGCGATTATTCGAAAGACCGACTAGCCTAGACGATGTACTCCTGTGTACAGAGATAACTTCATACCTCGGCACCCTCCCGATCGTGCCTAGCTCAATTCCAGTCACTGTCGCACTCGCCAAGACTTACACGTGGACCAAGGATAGTCCCTGAACCAATGAAACTTCTAGTGTCAACGCGAGGGCCCTGCTGGGCGGTTGCCGGCCAAGACAGACACTTCGCATCCCAGCCACACGGGGTAGAACTTAATCATCCCTGTGGTCTAACCGTAGATGGTACTAGTCCGTCAGCCAGCATGTGCCCGAGCCCCAGTCGCGTACGACTTAGGCAGCGGACCGCCCCGTCGAGGTCAGAAGACGCACTGATCCGAGGGGGTCACCCTGGAACCCGATGCATGACGAGATTGACAGTGACTGGAAATGAGTGTCGGAGACGAGTCGTGAGGATGACTTATGAAGCATGTACTTATCGAGTACACGAGAGCACGTCGCGTAGGCTAGTCGGTACTTAAGAACAATCACGACTATCGCGAGAACAATTATGTTCTGTTTGGTAAACTAGAGGGATAAGGGAAAATATATATATTCGCTCCAAGTTAGGTAGCTTACCTTTGTACAGATAGCGCGCACATCATACTTAGT